CCTGAACTCTGGGCCTGGGTGCTGTCCCTCAGCTCTTCAGCTCAGGGCTAGCGCTCTACCACTTGAGCCACAGCGCCACTTCCGGCTTTTTTCTTTTTGTTTATGTGGTGCTGAGGAACTTTCTACCAAGGAAAAGGTAAGGGAAGCATAAGATACTGAGTTCAAGCTCCAGTACATACACACACACACACACACACACACACACACACACACGTGCACATGCGAGCGCGCATGGATGGGCAAATGAGTAAGGTGTCTTCCCCTTTCCAGGAAGGACCTACTGCCCCCTTCCTCCATGTTTGCACCGAGATGAGAGGCTATTTCTCTGAGCTTGCCCGAGAATTTGAAGCCCAGCCTCAGTTCTGAAGCTCTTCTCATTGTGACTGCCTTTATGAGCACAAGTCATTCTGAACGTTCAGCTGGAAGGATCGCTAAGGGACATGATGGCACAACATGAAGATACATCCCCTTGTTTATCTGGAAAAAGCAAACCTAAATTTCCCTTTACCAACCTGTTCACTTAAAGTGGACCCAACCCCCAAGCTCCTTCCTCCTTAGCCCGAACCAGAAGTAGCTTCCCCAATCCTCCCCCCATCCTCCCTGCCCTTGGGCCCAGGAGAGCCAGGAAGTTACGTGGGGCAGGACACGCAGCCATCACCACGTTCGTAGAAGCCAGGCAAACAGGGGCCACATTCAGTGTCTCTGCTAGAACCTGCAGAACAAGAGATGACAGGGGTCATGGGGGATGTGGGGCTGGGAGAAGGGAGCTAAGTGTTATGATGGGGTATGGGGCTGGGTAAAGGGGTTCAGGAGTTAGCCCAGGGCGAAGTACTTACAGGGCAGCTGTGGGTGGCGGTTCAAGACCTCACAGTCGGTACAAGGGCGGCAGTGGAAGGGTGAACTTTCCCTACAGGGCTTGGCTGAGCAGTCCACAAACCAGCCAGGCACACAGCCGCACTGGGTGTCTGCCAGTGTGGAACAGTTCTTCAGGGCTACCTGGGAGGCTAGCGGGAGAGAGGGAGGTATGCAGAGATAGTCAGGGCCACAGATCCCCTATGGAAATCAGGGCCAGCGTCCTCAGAGGGTGGACACAGGGACAGAGCAGACAGATAAAGACTCGCCCAAATAGGAGGGAAGACAGCAAGTCCCAGCAGACTAGAGGCCAAGGCTTGTGCACACCAGAAAGGGAAAGGGGCAAAGGCACCCCGAGGCAGGGTAGAGGATGGGTGGGTGGGTGACAGAGCCCTTCCATCCAAAGCCTGGACCCAAGGCTAGCCACGTGGCCAGAAAGACCCTGGCCACGTCCTGTCTACCAGAACCCCACTGAACCCCGGGCAGCTCCTCACCCTCCTCATCGCAGGACTGGCAGCGGGTACACCGAGTCTTAGAGTGATTATCCCTGGCCAAGAAGGTACCCTGGGGGCACGGGAGGCAGGTGGGGGCCCCACAGGGCTCTGTGCAGGCGGCCTTCATGTAGTGTCCTGTGGAGGCCACGCAGAGGTGGCAGGTCTGCCCAGAACTCTGGGCTGTTCCCCACTTTGCCCTCCCTGCCTATCCCCAGCACTCGGCTTCCCTCCCACCTCACCTGGCGCCCCAGCTTCTCCCCACTCCACTCTCAAACCTGCCTGCCTGCCGCTACCCCCAGCCAGCCCCTCACCCCATCACTTACCCACTGGACAGCCCTTGCAACACAGCGGGTTAGACCTCCTCTGGAGGCCACTGGCACAGTCACACCCAGGCCCAGGGGTGCTGGCCTGGCCCTGGGCACCCAGCAGCAGGAGCAGGACAACAGCCTAGGGGCACAGGTATCGCTGACCCCATGCGGGGCCTCTCCTCACCCAGCTTCCTCCTCAGCAGAGGCCCCAGTATTTGCCCACAGAGCAGCCCGCTTCCCAGGCTCCAGGGCAGCAGGGTTGCCATGGGTAGGGGGTGAGCCCAGCTTCCTTCCTCAAGATTAGGAGGGGCAAAAGAGGGGCCCTGTCAGCCCCTCACACATTTCCCTCCCAGCAGGGCCAGAATCTCACCCTACCTGTGCTTTCTGTGAGGTGCCCACCCCCCCCCCAGACCCCTGTGATCCTGAGGAGTACATTTCCTCTCGACGGAAGGGCGCTGCCGCCACAGCTCAAAGTAGGTCGGGGAGAGGGGAGGGCGCAGTGAGGCCCGATCATGATCACAGATGCCTGTGGGCCCCTTCCCTAGGCAAAGGCTCAGTCCTAGGCTGTAAGCGGGTTCAGGATCCCCGCTCCTCCCCCCATCCCCACTCACCGCAGCCCCTGCCGTGCAGCCCCAGGGCCACGGTTCCATGGCCTTCTGAGCAGGCCTGTGCCTGGTCCTGGGGCCCGGGGCTTCCCCCCCAGCAGCCCTTGCCCTCAGAGCCTAGCCAGGACCTGCAGGGCCCGCCTTCTAGAAGAACCCGCCTCAGGGGCAGCCAGGGCGGGGCCTACCTTCTCTGGAAACCAAGCAGGATGTGCAGGACGCACCCCCACGGCCAGATGGACACCCTGATGCCAGCTCCTGCCCGGTGACCCTAGCGCGCCTGTGCCCGAGTGGTGGCGTGGGCCAGGGCTGCAGCCCCACCCTCTCCCTGAGTCTAGCCCTAGCGATGGGAACCGCCACTTAGGAGGCACAGTCAGGGCAAATGATTCCTGTTTGGGCTTCAGTGCCCAGGTGTTGTGCAAGGGGTGGGGCTAAAAGTACCTAGGCGGACCCAGATGGGAGCCCCACCTTCCCGTTACTCAGATATCCTCTGGGGAGCCTGAGATAGTGATCTGCTGCGCCTCCACACAGGCTCAGGGGTGGGGCAGAGGCAGAGCAAGGAGGTGTGAGGGCAGCAGCACAGGGTGAAGGCTGATGGCCGGGGCAGGGGGCAGGGGGCAGTCCCGGATGTTGATCTGGAGACCCCTCCCCCCTCCAACCCATTACTGCACGGCTGCTTCGCCCAGTGTCTTGCGTGGAGCCCCAGGGCAGCCTGGTAGCAGAGGCACATCCAGAAGCCCCCCTGCACCTGAGCAGGACTGGGGGCGGGGCGGGCTCCAGAAGCACAGGACTCTTTCCAAGGGAGCAGATATGCCATCTTTATAAAAGAATCGAAGCTCAATAAATACACAGCTTTTCACAGAACCCAGCCCCAGACTGGGAGGGGGAGAGAAGCCTGGAGACGAGGACTCCTCTGGGAGGCCAAGTGACCACGGCAGTGGGAAGGGCAGCCTGGTACCCAGCCCCAAGGATTAGAGCTGGCAGCTTCAAGAGCGGGGCACAAGACGCTGCCTGGGCAGGTGAAGGGGTGCATGGAGCCCTGCTCCACTCCATCGAGTCTGCAAAGTGCGGGTGGGCCCAGCGGTGAGGCAGGCGTGGTGCCCAACACTCGGCTCATGCAGAGGGGACACAGCAGCTGCCATGCCTCCCAGGGGCCATGCTGTCTGCTGTCCCTTGGCCAACAGCACCCTCGGGGTCTCCTCTGCTCAAACCTCCCTGCAAAGGTGGGGAAAGACAGACCTTCATTGGCTGATGCCATGCACGAGCTCCGGATACCCTCTCCCCCCACCATGATGCTCAGGCGCCTTCCTTACTGCCCACCAGACACCTGATCAAGGCACCAGGGAAAGGTCTCAGGCTCTCTCCCTGACCCCATGTCCAAGTGCCGCCACGTCCAGACATGATCACATGATCACACCCCCACCCACCACTGGGCTCTGTAGCAGGGAACTCACGAGGCAGTGAGAGTGGAGTTAAGCAGCAGGGTGGTCCTGATTCGGTAGAGCTGGGCCAGGGTCAGCTTCCTGTGCTGGGCAGAGATCCCTGGGGGGGTCTCAGGCTGGGCCCTGGGAGAAGCCCCAGAAGATAGCTCTCTGCCTCTCCTCCGAGCAGTACCTGTAGGTTCCTCGGACAGGCAGCTCGCTCTGCCCTGGCACTTGGACAGCTGAGGGCCGTGGGCAAGACAAGGGGCCCGGGGCCAATCCCAGCTAGGCCCAGGCTCCTGAGAACCCTGAGTCCTAGTCCGAGGGGCTGTGGAGGCCAGGCAGAGTTCCGACAAGCTGCGGCTGGGGGCTGAGGGCGCTCCGCAGAGGGCAGCCCCTGGCAGCAGCTGGAGGAGGCTGGCCTCGGATTTGGACTTGAGCAGGTGAGGCAGGGGAGGCAGAAGCTGGACAGGGGTACGGCGGCGGAGGCGAGGTGAAGAGGTCTGTGATGACTCTGGGGGCCGGGACACTGGCTCCGCCACAGGGGCTGGAGCCACGAAGTCCTGGAGGGAGGTGGGGGACAGGGTGCCGTAGGCGGAGTCCATGGAGCAGGAGCGGCCATCCACCGGGCCCAGGGGCAACCGCTCGCAGGTGGGCGTGATGGAAGAGGCGGTGGTGCTCAGAGAGGTCTCGTCCGACTGGGAGCTGAAGGGGGCGCCATCAAACTCCGGGGAGGACAGCATCTCGCCAGGCTCTACCACCACCATGGCCAGGGTCTCTGTGGAGCCGTCTGAGGCACTGCAGGGCCAGCAAGAGAGTCAGCCCAGCCAGAGGAGGCCTAGGGGGCCTCCCACACTGGGAGGCAGCCCACACATTGGGAAATGCAGAGTGGCTTACAGCCTCTGCCCCCCACAGGAGCTCAAGGCTCAGAGATCTTCCAGTCCCTGAGCCAAGATGGCTCTTGTAGAACAGACATCTCTTTTCAGAGCCAGGTAAAAATGGCTCATGTCTATAATCCTAGCTACCCAGAAGGCTGAGATCTGAGGATCGTGGTTCAAAGCCAGCCCGGGCAGGAAAGTCCGTGAGACTCCTATCTCCAATAAACCATCAGAAAACCGGAAGTGGCGCTGTAGCTCAAGTGGTAGAGCGCTCGCCTTGAGCTGAAAAGCACAGAGATAGCACCCAAGCCCAGAGTTCAAGCCCCATGACTGACAAAAAAGAAAAAGTCTTGAGACTTTTTTTTTTTTTGTCAGTTGAACTCTGGGCTTGGGTGCTGTCCCTCAGCTCTTTAGCTCAAGACCAGCACTCTACTGCTTGAGCCACAGCACCAGTTCTGGCTTTCTAGTGGTTTACTGGAGATAAGAGTCTCATGGAGTTTCCTGCCTGCGCTGGCTTTGAACCCTGATCCTCAGATCTCAGCCTCCTGAGTAGCTAGTAGATGGCGTGAGCCATCTTTGAGACTCTTATCTCCAATTAGCCAGCAAAAAGCCAGAAGTAGAACTATGTCTCAAGTGGTAGAACACTAGCCTTAAGCAAAAAAGCCCAGGGACAAAGCCCAGGCCCTGAGTTCAAGTTCCAATAGCGGCACAAAAAATAAACACAAACTCTTCCCTGATTTAAGAATCCTTGGGGCTGGGAAGTTGGCTCAGTGGTAGAGCGCTTGCCTT